GTAATATGTCAATTATATTTCAATAAAGCTGGAAAAATAAATGAGTTTTTAAAATTCACAGCCAATCTTGATCAAAAGCACAAGATAATTACAGGACCAAAATCATATGGAACTTTAAAAAAAAATGAAAATAAGAATAGTCACATGGCTCTTATCCAGCTCTCACATAACAATGATATAGTCACACAGTCAAAAACCTAAAATAAAATGAAAAATACCTGCAAAAGCCAAACTGCATATAAGCAACTCCTTGCACTGATCTGTGTGTATTTCACTTGTAAAAATGAACTTAAGTGACTTCGAGCCACTTTCCCTTATTTTGGGCACAATTTTATTTGGCACGGTAATCTGTTTCTCTAAGACATAATATAATAAAAGCAAAATACTAGAAAGGGGGAGTAGAGCTGGGGAGAGTTATGGGAAGGAAATAAATATATTAGCTGACATAGCTAAAAAGAGAGGAATAAATTTGTTTTTTAATAGAACTATAAACAAACAGATCTTAGAACTCAAAATGCAGCATGGGGTAACTTAGTGAAAGGGCAGAGATCCTCAGCAGTCCCAGAGAACATTCTTATATTAGACCATAATAACAATTTTATATAGTAAAGACTCTGAGTCATCAAGAAATGGTTCATTTATTATAATAAATTCTATTCCCTAAGATGTAGATATGCATATATCCAAATCTAAAAAAAATGTAGATGTGCATACTATATATTATTTTTAAAATATACTATCAAAAGGGATAAAAATTTTAAAGTTTTAGGACATTTTATGACTCCTCAAAAATACTAAACATTGTTACAAAGTAGATACTGTAACAACAAAACAAAAACTAAATAATCATGGCACTTAGTTTGTATTACATTGAGGTATTGTCTAAAATCTAACAATCTGAGGATTCCAAAAATACTTAGGGTGAAATGCATGAAGATCTGGAAAGGAGGATTCCAGGTAGGAGGGAGCAAATGCAATGACCCCAGTGCAGGAACAAGCCAAAGCCAGTTGTCGGGGCTGCCATGATGAGACCAAAGGGAGACAGGTATAAGAAAAGTTGGAGAATTAATTAGGGATCACATCACATAAGGAGTTTGGATTTTGTTCTAACTGCAAAGATAAAATATTATAAAGTTTTAGGACAAGCAAGAATGGGATGTGATGTATGGGGGGGGTGTTTGTTTTTTAAAGTTCTATGGCTGCTGTATGGAGAATGGATTGTAGAGAGTAAGAGCAGAAAATGGGAAATGAGTTAAGAGGCTTTGGACTGTTCTAAGCAGAAGATAACGGTGCCCAATAAAAACAACAAGATATCCTTTAAATAAACAGAGCATTAGTTTGAGTATCAACATTAACGAAATTACACACTCTTCACATAGTATCACTAGTGATCAAAGGTATGTATATCATTCCCCTTAAAACTTGTTTATTGCATTAAACAATTCTAAAGGCTGAAGTTGCCATTCATAAAGACAATGTGCAGAGGTGTTTGATATACTGCTCCAGGCAGAAAGTGACCAAAGAGGAGCCAGAGGGTACTTTCCAAAGGAAATTGTCTACCTAAGGTCCACACATTTCATTCCACTTAGTCTTTCCAGAGTTTGATTTTAGAAATGTGACTGATCTAAAACTTAATACTGACACCAACATCTTTATTATTAAACAATTCTTGGGTCACCATTCTTTTAATCTATGAACTGCTTTCTAGCAGAGACCTGAGACCAGATTATTTAATAATGAAATATGAGCTTTGAAACCCCTGTAAGTCCTTTACCTTTAAGGTATAAGACCAACAATAAGAAATTTCTAGCTAAATATTATCTGAATTCAAGCATGGTCTCTTTCACTACAGTGAGTTTCAATCCTCACTTGAATCTCCTTCTTTAGGCAATACCACCTTTATAAATGAGTTAAGGTCTTGAAAAAAAAAGAAAATACTTGAATTTTTTTTCATGAAAGATTAAGAATCTTTCTATTCCTTACTTTCTTTGTAGATTCCCTTAGGAAGATATCTAGTGAAAGCCAAACTGGAAAGAATGTGATCAGTCTGCCAAAAGAATAGGACTAGCTTGCCAACTTGATGGAGAGGGAGATAGTACGTTCCAGCTGTCGTGAGTATGATTTCAGTTTCTAGAGTCCTTCTGTGTACCCACAAGCTCTTCAAGAAGGCTACATGGGAGCTTTTACAAGTATCAAAGTGTTCACCCACAAATAGGCACTAAGGTTGGCCAGACAATACATAAGAATCTTTATTTAACTAAGTGTAAAATGGTAGAACAGAGGAGCACTAAGGTTCTTTGCCCCCATCCTGCTTCCAACCCACAAGCAAGATCTGGGAGAATCAATAAACACATGACTGCATTTAGTGAGTACATAAATAATTACAGCTACTAATTTAAATTTAGAACTATATTCACATGTTTGTGAAAATAGAAGTTAACAAATAGTGGGGGGAAAATCACTGCAAATTCCTATCTAAGAAGTTACACCCTGTACACTCCACCGAATTTTTGTAACAATGAAATACTGTATTCCTTTATTCAAAAATTTCTAAAGCATCTACCAAGAGAGAAAAAAACCTCTTACCACTAGCCCCAATGTTCACTCTTCTCATACAGACTCTTGAAACAACTTCCATGCCTCTTGTAAATAGCAAAACAGGGCAACTCTGGTCAACATGGCCTGGGCTCCACCACTACCAGCTGGACAGCCTTGAACAAGTGCCTTGTTTACCCATCTGTAAAAGGGAGTAATAACGGCACTTATTTCAAAGGGTTACTGGGAGGATTTATATGAGTTTATATATATAATGCATATAAAGAGCCTCTGAGATATAATAACTCTAATAAATGTTAATTTATATGATCCCTAATTTCACCAGTCAACATCAAAAGTGTATTCCCTTCCCTTTCCCCCAAATACAGGTATCCCCCACTTGTTGAAAATCCACATTACACCACTTTGCTTTTATGAAAGACCTAGATAAGTGCCCGTTTTCACTAACAAAAGAAATCTGAAGCGTAATTTTGCTTTTACGAAAAAAGTGAAAAGTAAAAACAGCATTCAGCATTTGTTTTGCAGCAAGCCATTATGGCGGCAGCACAAACCCCCGCAGCCAGAGCCGCCCTGCCAACATCCTTCCCCAGGAACTACACTCAGCATCTCAGCGTCCAGCCACCAAAGCCTTGAACTGTGTCGCTGAGTATCTGTGCTTTATCTAGATTTATTTTCTGCATCCGTTAGCAAGATGTGTTCCAAGGTATCAGAAAAGCGTGAGAGGTTATTTTGGGGGTCTGGGAATGCTCAAAACTTTTCCATATAAATTAATGTTAATTGCTTCTTCACTTTAAGCATTTTGGTTTACAAAAGATTTTATAGGGATGCTCTACTTGTGGACAGCACAGGAAACCTGTAAAAAAATGTGTTCTTTAATTGCTTGAGAAAGTACTTTTCTGAGACCAATAGCATTGACATCCCCTAGGAGCTTGTTAGAAATGCAGAATCTCAAAAAGAAAGAAAGAAAAGAGAAAAAAGGAAGAGAAACAGAGGAAGGAAGGAAGGAAGGAAGGAAGGAAGGAAGGAAGGAAGGAAGGAAGGAAGGAAGGAAGCTAAGCAAAGCAGAATCTCAATTCTCACCACCCCCATTAACTGAAGAACAATCTGCATTTGAACAAGGCCATTTGGATACACATTATAATTTGGGAGCCACTGCTCTAACACACCATCTGCCCATAATAACTATATTTCCTTAGGCCTCAGAGCTGCCCTCCCCTACATCTACCCGCTATGTCATCTAGAATTCTTGTTCCAAAATCAACAAACTCTCTACAACCTTCTCTAAATGTTTCCCCATCTCTTTACCATACCTGAACCCAAACATTTCCCTAAAATACAACTTTCTCTGCAAACTTCTGCAGTGATGACTCCTTATTCTCACACACCCCAAGGACACAGAGTTGAGAAGTGAACTTGCTGTCTTCCTTCTTCCCAGTTGCTGTCCTTCTCCTTTCTAGTAAAACATCCTGCTCTGTGGGGGCCCACACCTTTTGACTCCACAACTTCCTCCTACTCCCTGCCCCTCCTGGCTTCAGCTCTTTCATCCATTCACTTTCATCCACCAGGCTTTGCCACCATTCTCATCTCCGTGGAGGACCTCAACAGCCATATGGACAATGGCATCTTGGCCACTTTCCAATACCTGCAACCTTGTCATCATCTGGAATTGCTCTGGTCCCAAAAGCACTAGTTTGACACCCCACTCTGGTCATAACCTCTTTTTCATCTAGTTTGCTTGCTGTGACCGTTCTTCCACAACTTCACTGATCTTTCTAAACTGTCTGCTTTTCAGGTTTAGATTCCGTGGTCTACACGTTCCAGTAACATTATTGCCGATTCCCTAGCTACGCATTACCAGTATACAAATCTCCCTGCAACTATTCTTACCCTTCCTTCCTCAGACAGTGAAGAAGTTGACTTTGGCATTCTATAAGGCCAAAGCTTTCACTTTGCTTTCAATGCTCTCCTCATTCACCCACTCAGGCACCTCAGGAACCATGGATTATCTTTTTCTCTCCTTAATATTCAACTCCCCCCCAACAAATGGATCCTTGCCTTTGGCTTTTAAATATTTCAAGTCTTTTCCATTAAAAAATAAACAAAACTTGTCAACTATACTTCAATTAAAAAATAAAAATTAGGGGTGCCTGGGTGCCTCAGTTGGCTAAGTGGCTGACTTTGGCTCAGGTCATGATCTCAGGGTTTGGGATGGAGCCCCATATCAGTCTCCATGATCAGCCTGGAGTCTGCTTCTCCCTCTCTGTCTCCCCCCGCCCCCGCTCATGCACACTCCTATTTATGGCCACTATGTGAGAAAAACACTGTTGTCTCCATTTTACAATGCCAGAACAGAAGCTTTAATAAATGGTGTCATGCCAGTGCCAACCCCCGCTCTCTCAAGTAAATAAAAATAAAATCTTTAAAAAAATAAGTAAATAGGGCGGAGGCTCCTGCAGCGGTCGCCGGCGGTCGGGTGGGGAGCACTTGTGCGCCCCTCGGACCTGACCCTTTCAGCGCTCTGCTCCCGCTCCAGCCTACCTCGCTCTTCGGCACCATGACCACCACCACCACTTTCAAGGGAGTCGATCCCAACAGCAGGAATAGCTCCCGGGTTTTGCGGCCTCCAGGCGGTGGATCCAATTTTTCATTAGGCTTTGATGAACCAGCAGAACAGCCTGTGAGGAGGAACAAAATGGCGTCTAGCATCTTTGGGACACCTGAGGAAAATCCTCCTTCATGGGCCAAGTCGGCAGGTGCCAAGTCTAGTGGTGGCAGAGAGGATTCTGAGTCATCTGGACCCCAGAGAAGGAACTCTTCTGAAGTGAATGCTGGAGACTTCTTAGATCTGAAGGGAGAAGGCGACATTCATGAAAACGTGGACACAGACTTGCAGGCCAGCCTGGAGCAGAGTGAGGAGAAGCCCGTGCCTGCTGCCCCTGTGCGCCCAGTGGCTCCGGCCCCGGTGCCATCCCAAAGAAACCCCCCTGGTGGCAAGTCCAGCCTCGTCCTGGGTTAGCTCCAATTCTCTTGAACTCTGTCGTTTTGTTTGTTTGTTTTCTCCATGCTTGTGAACTGCACAACTTGAGCCTGACTGTACATCTTTTGGATTTGTTTCATTAAAAAAGAAGTACTTTAAAACAAAAACAAAAAAAAAATAAGTAAATAAACAAAAATTAAAACTAATAAATAAACTTTCATTAATCTACATGTTCTCTAGACTCCTTTCAAGATATCTTTTATTCTTTACAAAAACATTCTCAAAATATTTCTTACTCATTGATTCCATTATTTGCCACTTACACATTCCTCAGTCCATTTGATGTGACTTTGTCCCTTAACACTCCAACGCAACTATACTCATTAAGTACTCTGATGTCTTACAGTTCTAACAGTTCTTTGCTACATTATATTGTACATTATATTCAAGACTGCCAGGAAATTCTTCTCCTTAAAACACCCCTTCCCCTTGGCTCTACTGATGTTCACTCTTCTGGTTTTCCTTCTCTCTCTCTGACTATTCCTTCTCCATCTTCTTTGCACAAATATCAGTTATTGTTATTGACATTTTTAGAGCTGAAAGAGATTGTAAATATACAATATCTTCTATATTTATGTCTGTTTTAATATTAACTCTATACTTAAACATAAATTAGTATCATTTCGATTGTCTTACAGTCATGTTCAATTCTTACTACATGATAATCTTCAGCATGTTATGAAATCTATAAATTCCCCCTTGACAAATCTAATTTTAATTCCCCTCAACAAATCAACAAACCCAAATTCAGCATGCCCCTTTTATCACCCTGTAGCATAAGTTTGCAGTTTTGTGTTTTGAACACAGACATACTGATTAGTCAAAGATTTAACAACTAAAACAAATTTCCTAAGCGCATATAGAGCCACAATGATGCTATAGAGAGATCATTTGCATATACTATGTATATATCCTCCCCCTTAAATTAAAATGACATACTGTGATAACTGCAGATGATAGGGAACTGGATATTGGACATTCTGGATAAGATTAAATGAAAAATAATGAGACACTTTTGAACTTTCCTTTCAATGGGAAACAATAATTCCTTAGGAAATTAGCTCTAAATACTCTCCCCCGCCCAAAATGTGGGTTCTCTAAGTCATAGTGACCTTTTCCCACAACATTTTTATAACAAATATTCTCCTGGGGACAATCTGAAATTCAGGTAGTTTATGTCCCTTCAAATAACCAATAGGAAAGAACGTAAATAAAGCAAGCTGAGATCCCTATTTCAGATCAGTTTCCTTCCAAAATTACACATTCAGAAAGCTAAGTTCCCACAAGTATCCAAATGTTAACTAGAATTATATTTTCATCTTAGTAACACAATGAAATCCATTACTTTAAAAACCTGAACATCACTGTCAAGGCCACTCTTAAGTATCTATCAAGTATGAGGATTATCCACACAGCAAGAAAGGCTTCTCCACAGCTGCATTTTCTCAGTGAGGAGATCCATGTCTGACCTGTGCAGCTTCTCTGATCCCTTTCTCTGTGATACAGGGGAAAGAGGACCTAGATTTGAATCATTTCTCTACCATCTATGAGGGGGTTGGCACCGGGCATGATGCCATTTAGTAAAGCTTCTGTTCTGGCATTTGTAAAATGGAGAAAAAACAGTGTTTTTCTCACATAGTGGCCATAAATAGGAGATTAAGTATTGTAGCAGAAATGAGGCATAGACCCAAATAGCAACAATATAGGGGAAAATATTAAAAGATCATTAAAAGATAAAATATAGGTGGCATGAAGCATCAGATCAAGGAGGACTATAGTCAAGAGTCTAGAAAACTTGCCTTGGGGGCATAATCTGAGTTCTGTGAAAGAGAAAATATGTGTATTAGCCCCTGGCTCCTGGCACCGGGCTCTTAAAACCCATGTAATTTCCCAAGTGTTAAGACCCCTAGAAGTACCTTTTGTTCTCATATTTGGTCTTTGACCCCAGTGCCTGACACAGAGTTCCTAAATTCCTTGAAGTTTCCTGGGTGATAGTCGGTATCTTTTGTTCTAGTGAACTGACTTTTGGTGGGCTCCTGGGTGGAGACTGGTCACCAGAAAAACCAACCCATGATTAGAAGCTCAGAACTTCTGGCCCTACCACCCATTCTCCAGAGGGAACAAGGACTGGAAATGGAGTTAAGGCTCGATCAAGCTTATGTGATGAAGCCTTCATAAAAATCCCAAAAGTACAAGGTTCATAGAGCTTCTGGGTGTTGGGAAAGTGGCATACCCAGAGAAGTCATGGAAGCTCCGTGCCCCTTCCCACACATCTTGCCCTACATATCTCTTCATCTGGCTGTTGATCTGTTATCTTTTATCATATCTATTATTATATAATAAACTGGTAAGTATAAGTAAGTGTTTCCCTGAGTTCTGCAAGCTGTTCTAGCAAACAATCGAATCCAAGGGGGAGGAGGTCATGGGAACCTCTGATACAGAGCCAAGCTGGACAAAAGTTGTGGGTAACCTAGGAACCTAGTACTTGTGATCAGAGTGTGAAGCGGGGGACATTCTTGCAGGACTGAGCCCTTAACCTGTGGGAACTGATGCCTTCTCCAGGTAGACAGTGTCAGAATTGAGTTAAATTTTAGGACACCCAACTGATGTCAGAGGGAATTGCTTGGTGTGAGAAAACCCCCACACATCTGGTGTCAGAGTGTTGTAAGTGTGGTGGTGAGAGAGTGAAAGAGCAGGAAGGAGGGTGACTTTCTCCTAACTCAGGCTCTAAAAAGTCACATGTTCAAATAGGTGGAATGAGTGGTAAAGAGACGGAGAAGGGGCAGGAAGGTGAAAAAAATATATTATGTAAATTTAGGCAAGATTCCATGAGACTGGCATTAGAAATGCACTGTTAGGCCCTATGGGCTCTTCTGGAAGGGACTCAAGTATAGGGAACTGGGTTCTGGAACACTAATGCAAGATTCAAGGGGAAGTGGGACATTCATCTGAGACAAGAGAAAAGTAGACATTCTCCATTAAAAGACAGAGATCAGCATAGAACAAAGATTTGGAATCTGACAGTCTCAGTGGGGAGGAAGAACAGCTTACATAAAATACATAAAATCAAGTACTAAGATGTGTAGTAATGACTATGAAGAAAAAAAAGCATTCTGGAAAATTCTGATGGATGGTAGAATAGCTAAAAAAAGGCTTCATGAAGGTTATGGGATCTAACTGGGAGCCTTCAAGGCTTAGAGGAAAGGCAGATATTCTGGTATTCAGCATTAACAAGGAATATGGAGTCCAAGAAAGAAATAACAGAGGAAACTGTTAAAGAAATAGGAAATGTAAACATACAGATTCCGTTTCAACATATATGTTCATTACCATCTCCTTCAGAAAAAGAAAGAAATCAAACTGTGGGCGCGAGGGAGGGAAGGGGAAACAGTTACTCAAAACAGGTGTCTTTGGTCGTAGTTTTTTCAAAGTGAAAATATCAATTTGGGAATTCTCCACTGAAATAAGGCTTTTTCTCTCTACCATTTACTGATGATTATCAGTTTTCTGGTTGCAGTTTTGCATTTTATGTAGAAGAAACTGTCTCTGGGTTATTATGTAAGTCAATGACAAGGTAAGAATCAACTCACTGTGTGTGTTTTTGACAAGTTATGTGTAAATTGATACAGAAGTAACTTTTCAGATTGTGCCTCCCTTGATCTTGACTAGTGAAGCATAGAAATACAAAAATCTCCCATATTTTTCTCAGCTCACCAAGAAATGCTCTTGTGAATAAAGTCAGAAGCCTTTATTATCCATTCACAGGACACTCCTCAGATCCCCCCACACTGACCCCTCTCCCACCCTCCCAAACACCCCCACCCCACTCTTGTTCCCAGATCCCCAAGCCCTCTTCTCTTCACATGAGCTTGTGGGGTGAGTTATGTCTCAGGATCTGGGACCCATCAGTCCTTAAACACCATACTTTAGTTCACTTTGACAGCCATTTGCTAAAACTAAGTCCTCATTTTGCACAATCTCTATGGTGCCTAACTGTCTGCCTTGCTCCTTTCTACCCGTGGCTTAGTAAAAGGGCCAGAATGCATATCTTCTAGAACTAGGAAACAATCTTACATTTGCCAATCCTGCCCCCAGGGTGCATGCCCAGTTCCATTCTTCCCTATTCCTCTGCAGCTAACCTTCCTAGAACACGTCATGTCACAGGAAGCCACACCCCCAGGCTGCTCACCTATATTCATTAGGCAAGAATTAAACCACTGCCAAAGTACATGCTGATCTTTCAGACAAAATGCAACTTCCTCCTACCTCTTTGTCAATGGCCCCAAAATTTGACCTACCATCTACATATTTTTTCGCTGATTACTTTGTTCCGTGTTATAGGTTAGTGGTTGAGATAATGATGTAGACTATTTTGACTCTTTGCTAGCCTTTGTTAGGAGGAATAAAGTCCAAGAGAGAATTTACTCAATCTCTTCACATAGCTGGTATATGTAAACCCATGAGCAATGGGGAAGCCATAAACTGCCTGCCACCTTCGCAGCAGCGCAGAGAAAGTCAATCTACCATTGTAAACAAGGAGCAGAGGCAAGCCAGAAAGACCCAGACCACCAACCAAACCTTGGTTCCCTTGCCTTCTTATAGCTGCATTCCTCCCCCTTCAGGTTAATGAGCCCTGGATCCCTATAAAAACTTTACTGAAGTCTATTTCTGTTCTCGTGTGCCATAACCAATATACGTAACTTGTGATATACCCCAGGAGGGACTGCAGTGGCCTGTCGACCACATGGGTCTGGAATTCTGGAGGGACATACTCAGGAGCACAGGGCCTCCTGTCATTTAAAAAAATAAGTGACCACTGAATGTGATTTCCTCTTCATGGGATGCTCTTCTAAATTCCTCCACCAACCCCTCACTCACTCACTCAAAAGCTACTCCTTGTGTCAAATGTCACCAGATAGAGATAGTCTCTCCCTCCTCTAAATTCCACCCTAGTCTCTTCAAGAAGGTAAGTTATAGGGCACCTGGGTGGCTCAGTCGGTTAAGTGTCTGCCTTTGGCTCAGGTCATGATCCCAGCGTCCTGGGATCGAGCCCTGCATCGGCAGGGAGTCTGCTTCTCCCTCTTACCCTCCTCTCCTC